GGGGCTGGTGCTGTAGGTTTGTTTGGGTGCTGGCCACGTGCCCTGGGTGAGGGTCTCAGGCCTGCGGATGTGCTCAGTGGACACCTCTGTTGAGGTCTGAGGAGCACATGGGTGGCACAGGGAAGTGCCTGGTGAAAGGATGGAGCCTGCCCAGGTGAGGGTAAAGGCAATAGCCCAGGGATCAGCAAAGCTCGCTGAGAACAGTAAAGGGGATTTATCAGGTGGATCTTACCATCTGCTGCCCAGATCTGTAGGGGGACAGTGAGGTGAAGGGAGAGAAATGATAACAGAAGGGAAAGCTGGACGAACAGCTTGAAGACGAACATGCAGATGAAAGTCCAGCAAAAGAATGGGAAGCCTCCACTTTGTTGCATGGAGTATAAACACCTGATTACTGTCGGGAGGTTGGGTGGACTTTGCATTTGTGCATGCAATGCAGAGAGCTCCCAGCACTGGGAAACGCATCGTTCTCTTGAAGTGAGAGAGGCTGAGCTGGAATAACCTAGGGAAACAGAGATGCGGGGTATCCTGGAGGCTGTTCACAAGGCTTTCATTAGGAGCTGACATAAAATGCATGCCCTACCATGACCCAGCAAAACCCCACAGGGCTGACAAAAAGTGAAATCCTGCCTCTGTGCTGTGTGGCCAGTGAACTTCTACGTCCCGCTGATGTGGGAGGCTGCAGAGGCAGCGAGTGTCTGTGGGTTCAAAATGGGTTTATGGACGACAGATTAAAAAAGAGACAGCAGAAGCAACAGAGAGGGCTGTGCCCTCTGTCTTCTGTAACATAACAGTGGTGAATGCTGAGGAAGTCCATGGGGAGCAGATGGCAGATAGGGCTGGGCTCGGGCTCGAGCGCTGTCTCCTCCTGCCACTGCTGGAGTCAGCACTGGGCCAGAGGGACCTTTGATCTGATCACAGGGCAGTTCTTGTCTTTGGGCTGTTCCCACAAAGCACTGTCTGATTGCTTCCCAATATTCCTCTCCACCCCTACCAAAGCCTGTTTGAATCCCGGTGTGATGCTTTGGATCAGACCAAAGAAAACCATGTTTCAAGAAAATATCAGGTTATCCAGCAAACATGATTATGTCCAGCTTTCACTAAAGCAAGCTTAGATGCGATCTGCCAGCGTCCCCTGTTCTATAAAAAGAACAGGAAATCCATTACAAAATTCATTATCTCTGCAGAGCAGTTCGAAGAGGAAATGTTTCTCCTGCATCTCAAAGGTCAGCCCCCAGCAAACCCGCCGAGCCGGCTCTGCTGTCAACGCCCTGCTACAGAACATCGATGGTGGTTTCTTCATTCCTGGGCTTTAACAAAAGTTAAGCCTGCCCAAACATACTGCACACCCGTGTTGCATACCTCTCTCCGAGGATGTTATATTGTGTTTTATCTCACTTCACATTAACCGGATTCATCCTCGGTGCAATCTGCACCAACACTAACCCCCCTCCTCTGGGGTATAAATGATTTAACTGTGGAAGGAAGCAGGTGACCACTGGTGTCTGGAAGCGCACACATATATTCCCCTGAGCACTTCCACCACTCCTTTCTGGAAACATGGCCGAGGGCTCAGGGGGCCGTGGGGGCTGGTATCCCCCATTTCAGATTCATGGCTGTGTCTGGATATTAGCAGGGCGACCAGTTCAGCGTGCACCCTGAAATGCTGCTGGCACTTCCTAGCACCCCAAGGAGCAGACGGCATCTCACCGGGGTGAACTGTGACTGCCCGTCCCTCACTCGAAGCCAGCAGCAGCCCTCCCCTGTCCCTAACGAGCAGTAAGGAGAGCAGTTACTTTCAGAG